TCAGCCCCGCATGCTACAGAGCGGGAGGTTCAGACCGGGAGTCCGCACCAGTAGCAGTAGTAGAAGCGTCAATAGTAGTCGAAGACTAATGGTATGACGTCGACAACGGTGAGTTAGTGAGCTACAGTCAACTACGTATACGGGACCATACAGTACTCGACTCCAAGACATTAAACGTATTAAGTTTGGTAGTCGTAGGTGAAATACAAAATATGCTACGGACAAATTCCATTGTCAAAATGGGCTATAACTCTGCATTGGGTGGGTTAAAATGCATCATTTGAGTACGTGACATGCCGCTGTCCGCCTTCCACGAAAGCGAAATAGCAAGGAAACTGGCCATGACTTCTGACTAAATGCAGTGCACATACAGAGCGCAAGGAAACGTCAAACCCATAATACGCCCAGTCATATTACCCTTCACAGTTGATGTTGTGATTCGAGCACGTTTAGTTTAAACATATTTTATTGTACAAATATACAAATGGATCGGAAAACAAGTTGTTACAACTTAATAGAGTCCTCACCTCAATACATATAGTAAAAATAGTGTATATGTATTTGTGGAAAGGGAAAAAGAAAGGTTGTGGAAGGAAATGTGGGGTGGGAGGGGGTTGGGGTGATGGAGGGGAGGGGTGTTACCTAGAAAAGTAAACGTGTAAACGTGTAAACTGAGAAATCGATCCGCATTTGAATAAATTATAAATTATACAGATTTCATGACATGCATCCTGGTAGAGTTATTTCAAAATGAACAGAATCAATGTAACAAATAAATCAGGCAAAATAATGAAATAAAATTTCATAAACACATATAACAACTTACACATAAATAAAAATAGAAAAGTAATTATAACTATCAAAACCTATTGCTGGATTTGATGTAATGTTGCACATGTCTAAAGATACTTATGTTGTTTTCTACCGAAAGTTGACTATTTCCAAACAAAACTAGTTCTAAATTAAAATCAACATGCAAGGCATTCAAATTTAGGAGCAGGGTATGTCTTTCGTTGTTAAAAAGTAAGCACTCACAAAAAAAGTGAAAGGCATTTTCACAGGGATGGCATCAATAACGAACTGGACTATCAAAGTTTAGTATGAAAAATGTTTAATTTACGTTTACAGAAACCCAAGTATATTGGTGGAGGAGATTGTACATTTGAAGTTAACGAGTTTTTAAAAGAATGTAATGAGGTCAATGATCGTACTGAAAGGTCCAATGAATTCCAACCGCGAAGAGTTGAAGGTATAAAAGATGAATTTGTTAGAGAAAGCCTGAAAGGACGACTTCTATAATCATCATTGTTTCTAAGGGTATAACGGTTATTTTCTGCAACGGAAGATGGCAATAGAGAATTTAAATAGTCTGGAGATAATTTGTTGTGCATTTTATACANTCTCTAACATTTCTGTTTCATAAGTTGTACAACCATCCCACAATTCACAAGCATATTCTAAAACTGGTAAAATAAATGATTTATAAATCTTTAAAAGATTATCACGATTTAATAAGTATTTTAGTCTACGTAAGACGTTGACTTTTTTCATAACTGAAGTATATATTGCACAAATATGATCCCCCCATTTTGCACTTGAAATAAAAATTACACCTTAATGTTTATGATGATCAGTAAAGTTTAAAAATTCGCCATTAAATTCTAATTGTAAATCTTCATCAATTTCAACCAAGTTTGAAACAAAAATTACCTCAGTTTTTTCCAGATTGAATGTTACTAACCAAGTTTGGGACCATGCTTTAAGAGACTCGAGATCTCTATTCATAACCGTTTGGATTTCTAGACATGAAGAGGATGATTTTAACAAAGAAGTATCGTCTGCAAAAAGACGAGAGATTGATTCAAACACATCAGCAATATCATTAATATAGATAAGAAACAAAAGAGGTCCAAGAATCGAACCCCGAGGAACACCTGCTTCAATGAACCCTAAGTCGGAGTAAGAAGAATTCAAAAAGACTCTCTGGTACCTCTGAAATAGGTAATTTTCCAACCAATGATACAATTCCCCTGAAATTCCATAAGATTTTAACTTAATCATCAAACCCTTATGCCAAACCCTATCAAAAACCTTAGAAATATAGCAGAATACCATACATACATGGTTTTCTTCTTCTAGAGCAATACAGATGTTATGATAAATTTCAATGAGCTGATATACAGTAGAATGACCAGGCAAAAAAACAGACTGGTGCTTATAAAAAAGTGAGTTTTCAATAAAATAATTATGCAAGTATTTGAAAATTACCCTCTCAAACACTTTTCCAAATGTAGATAATAAAGAAATTGGCCTGTAGTTAGAGGGAGAATGCCTGTCACCTTTTTTAAACAGTGGCATAACTTTGGCTGTTTTCCAAGAGATTGGGTAAACACCAGACGATTAAGACTTATCAAAAATTATTTCAAGGGAAACACAAACTGTTCCTGCTGTGTTTCTGAGCATATGGTGACTGATTCCATCCTCACCCGAGGCCTTACCAAGCTTCAATATCTGTAAAATATCTCGTATTTCATTATTATTGACTCTAATGTACCTAAGACTCTTGTCGGTTTTTGGCTCGATGAGAGGAACCGCAGTATTTCTGTCATCTACACGAGTTATATTACAAAAATAGTTATTTAATAAATTAGCCTTGTCTTCATCACTAGTAACGACATTGTCAGAAACAGGATCTACAAGAGTAGGTATAGATTGTGTAGTACCAGACGATTGCATTAACCTTTTGATGAGTCTCCAATAAGCTTTTGGATCAGAGGACGAGCACTCTTCAATAATACCATGAACATGTTTGGCTGACCTCGCAATTTCATGCAACTTATCTCTAATTTTATTGATTTTCTTAATTCAGAGGTCATCCAAGGTTTATCATTAGGTCTCATAGTTACATCTTTTGGTGGAATACATATATTTGCAAATTTTAGGAACGTATCAGTAAAACAATTACAGGCAGCATCAACTGAATCACAATTTAAAAAAAAAGAAGGTACAATCATAATCAGAAATAAGATAATTAAATTTGTCAAAATCTGCCCGCTTATACAGCCAAACTTTTCGCTTAAAAATAGGTTTGACAATACAGGGAATATCAATGCAAGCAGTACAACCGTCATGGTCACTCAATGATTTGTCTATAGTTATAACAGAAGAATCAATACAAGAAAGCGAGTCGGTTAAAAGTATAGGATCAAGAAGACTAGATCGAGTCGGTCCAATACGAGTTAGTTCATTGATAACATTTGACATACTAAAGGAATTAATAATATCAAGAAAAACATGGTTACGTGATGCAGTTAATAAGTCGACATTAAAATCACCCGTGATTAAAACATTTGGTGAAATATCTAGAGCATGGTTTAAAGACGTACGTAAATTTTCCCAAAAAGGTGAAACAGAATTTTCAGGTCTGTAGGCCGAACCAATAACCAATACAAAATTTGGTAGAGTGATTTTTAAACAAATAATCTCATCCTCTGGATATTCTAATTCCAGCAAACGGTCAACTTTTAAAATATTATTGATATAAACCAGAACACCACCACCAGCAACGTTTCTATCAAGTCGAAAAGGTACATGAAAACCAGTTATACATAAGTCATCTGTAGAGACCTGATCATCTAAATGAATTTCAGTTAAGCATATAATATCATATTCACCAGATATATCCTCTATGTAGTCCAATTTATTCCTAACACTTCGTATATTAATGTGAAATATTGAAAGCTCTCCACGCCCCGGGCCAGGATTGGACTCGATGTCCATATGCTGTAATAATAGTAAAAACAAGATTATAGAGAACTCAATATTTTTAAAGCAAGAAAAGATTAAAAGGTTTAAATGATAGATAAACCACGATATATATTACCAACCAAGGTCGAACACCCTTATAAATGAACCTAAACAAAAAGAGAACAACTTAAACGACTTCATCATACATCTGCGGTATGCCCTAGAATAAAAGGTACCGATCGGTATTCTGTGACACTAATACGAATTACCCATTGTCAAATACGTAACAGGTTTGACTGATAAAACAGCGAGTCGGTACCATCATTCCAGGACAACGTACAACCAGCAAAAGATCTTGACCAATAATATTTTACATGTGAATGAAATCATAATCATAATCCAGGAGAATAAGACAAAGTAAATGAACGGAAGAAGACGAGGACTAGGCATTACAAGAGTGATTGGGGTGGGTGGAGGGGATGTGTATGTGAGAGTGCAGAAAAGTAAGGGGTAAGGTCGAGTGATAGAGAGATAGGGGATCATGATATGGGTAGAAAGTAAGGTCCAGTAACATTTCAATGAGTAGTACAATAAACCAGCAACACAATGTTCAGTAATAACTGAGAATTGAACACAAAAACACTATGTACATATAGACAGAAGCAAAACGCTATCAAGATGAAAGATGTTTGCTTAGGGTTCATACACATGATACTTATATCTGTACGTCGGGGAATTATGGATGTCTAATGACAATATGAAAATATTTCATGTCGATGAATAAAATACAATATTAAATTAATACATTTTTTTTTTTTACAAAAAAGTAGAAAAAATACAAAAAATAAGGATATTACAACAAATATGCTAGTGTACATGTATAAGGTTTAATTTTTGAAAGCAAAAACATAGTACTCCACTACAGTTGTACACACAAGTTTATATCTAGGCACGTACATACATTAAACTTGGCAGGCTCACACCCACACCCACACACCCACACCTACATACACAACTGTGATAATTATGCTCGCATGTGATAGTGAATGCCTGCATACAAGCGCTTTTACGCACACACACATACAGGCACGCACGAATGCACGGACGAACTTATTGCACGCACACACCACACACAAGGGGATATATACACTGTGCATGTATACCATCACACACACATACACTAACATATGCATTATATACACCCCACTTCTTACTGAGACACTTACACGTGCAAACATCACCCCCCCCACCCCCCACCCCCCCGGAACCTCTCTTGTGTACTAGTTTCATAGTATAAATTGTCAAAAATCATGGCGGGTGTCTTTCCCAGCACAGTCAGCACAAGCGATAATCTTATCCACTATTCCATACTTTCAACTGATTCAATAGTTCATCATATCCAGTACTTCTTGGCTTTCTCCTTTACGTTCCAGGCCTCCTTAATACGTTTCCGCTGCGCTGTCCATGCCGGGAAAGACCCACTACATGACTCTTGGTAATTATTATAAATTTGGTATTTGAAGGTGTATATTCCCCTGCACACACACACACACACACACACACACCATACATACCTAGCCACATGCATGCGCATACATAATGAATCGTCGATTAAAAGGGAATTAAACTTCAATGCATTCACTAACATAAACAGTATTGTGTACAAGTCTGGTGATCTACACTAGCACTAGTCTGATAATCAAGCTGAGTTTCACTGATGTACACAAGAAAGTTATAACTGTATAGCATGATAACTAAACATATACTAATTATATATGATATATGCAATAAAATTGCAAACTAAATATTATCGCTCGCTCTTTATATGATTTCAAAACTTTACTATAATTTCGCACGCGCAGGTCATTTTACCTGACCCGCTTACATTTCATTAAGTACGCCATTTGCATAAACAGGTAAATAAATCACACACATATAAATGCACCCGACAGAGTCTATCCAGTAGTCGTAACCCATCATGCATTTAACAGTATACACTTAGGCCGTGACAAGGCTGTCGTATGTATGAAAAAAGTGTTCGGTCCCCTAATCCTTGAAACACCCTCGTGTTTGGCAACCAAAGAAATCAGCCCTCGGGTCGGAGATTTCTCTGTCACACCCTCAAGGTAGGAGAAGATTCTATTAATCAAAGTTACAATGTCTATTTAAGTTCTTTGGATAACGTGCTCCAAAGTTTGTTAAATATCAGGTCGATTTCCTATCCATTTTTTATTTTTGTCCTCCTGCACACAATAATTAAAATGATAGCCTGGGCGAGAGTTATACCACCAAAAACAATGACTGTCCAAACGAGCGTCTGTCTGTCCACCACGTCTGTAACAAAAAAATGAACATTACATAAATACAGGAGACAGCATATAAAACGGAACCTCGTTATTAACGTTTTTTTTTACAGTACATGGAAAACGACGGAGTGACCTGACATCCGTAAATTGCCGCCGCACATGTAGACTTGATTAAGATTTTATTATCACAACATTAATCCAGAAAGACTTGGCGAAGAAAATCATCGGGAAAAACGTTTTGAAATAGTGTAAATCAATATCTAACAAAAGAAAATCACCAGGGCAAATTTTCTGAAAATTTAGATTGGTAAACAATCAATAATAATAAAACACCGTAAAGACGTTCGATTTTGATATCGTATTGACGTTATAGGTTGCCGACATTTTGACCTGCATTCGTCGTCATGGGGCCATTGGAATATAGAGCGACTTCATGATTATAAACCGACATAACATGTTTACAGTGACGTTACACAAGTACAGTAACATAACACATTTAAAGTGATGTAAAAATGCCAATTGATGTAACACAAGTACAATAACGTTACATACAATGAATGATGTAAATTAACGTAACACATGTACAGTGACGTAACACAATTACAGTGACGCAACAAAAGTAAATTGGTGTAACACCTGTACAACGGAGCTACGTATGTGCAGTGACGCAAAACATGTGATTAATGACGTAACATTTGTGCGGTGATGTAACACCTGTACAGTGACGTAACATATGTAACGTGACGTGCATATATACAGTGACGTATTACATTTTCAGTGACGTGACACATATATGCATGTTACGATAATTTAGGATGACGTTTAGTCCAAATATCGTGTAATGAAAACTTGATCAATAAAAATATTGTGAAGGGCCTAAAATAGGTCCTTGACCTACTTTTATCACTCAAAGTGTACAGTGTTACATTTTCAAACAACTTCTTAAAAACGATGATATCAGATATATCAGATATAGTCTCAGTTCGAGTTACTTCTGGCCCTAACACCAGACTTCGACATTTTGACATATAGATGTCTGGTGTGGGTCCAGAGCTCACTGCTATATGAAAACGTGGAATTCTCCGACACCGATTGGTATCGTAGAATTATGAGCCCCCCCCGATACCAAACGGTGTCGGAGAATTCCACGTTTTCATATAGCAGCGCGCTCTGGCCCCACAGCAGGTGTTAGGGCCAGAGGAAACTCGGACTAATATAGTCTGTACATGAAGCTTTCCAGACAGTGGAATAATCAGTTACGCCAAGTCATATGGGATCATTTTTTTATTTTTTTTTATCAAAGACGCCATATGACAAGAAATATTTCTTTTTGGCTCTAGCTAGCTAGGACGCGGACTTTCAACCGAACTCAAATATATGATATTGGTATGATGTTACTGTGATACTAGTGCAAAAAAACCGACAATAATCAGGAGCAATCAGAATGCTGAAGCCTGCGACCATAGTCAGTTACTGACCACTTACCGGCGTATAAACCAGGCCTTTCTCCATGACGACTGATGTCCGGAATCACGTTCGAAGCTGACCTCTTGTGACGAGTACCGGAAGTCACCGCTGACGGAAGAAAGCTCCTGCATTCAGGGAAACCAGGAGGTGGTTTAGGAACATTCGCGAACGATTCGTTGATTACCATTGCCATTCCATATATAGAATGGAGTTCAACATGACAGTGCATTATCCACAGTCCTGGGTTGTCTGCCCTTATCCGTACTACAACATATCCGCCAGATGGCACAATTATTGTATCCTTTACCGGAGGTCGTTGTAGTTCCAAACCTGGAATATTTTCATTTGCCCACGAAGAATTCGTCCATTGTGCAGTATTGCAGAAGGTGTCATTACCAAACTTTTGTCCGAGGCATGTTATATCGGGATTATCTGCAGAAATCTGTCCATTTTCATCGTGAACCCCAAATCCGGTTTTCAAGACTTCGAATGAATGTCCGTGCATGTGAATGGGGTGTGCAAAGCCTCGCCCTTTGCCCATATCTAGAAACACCATCTGCACGATATCATTTTGGTCCAGAGTTAGAGAGTGCATACAACTACAAACCTTATCGGGTCCGCAGTCGGCATTCTCACACAGCTGGCGCGGATTTATTTCATCCATTTGAGTCAGACCCGAAACGTCTGGAAATTCAAACCGTTTTCCATTAACAGAACCAGGTCTCCAGGAAGTTCCAGGGAAAGCAAAATTGAGAAATACCTCTTTGAAACGGCCACCAGATGTATGAGTAGAATTTGACTGATGAGTTTGATTTGAGAAAGAGCCCGCTACATGCACTGGTGGACTGATGGAAGTGAGAGACGCTGACTTGATGTTGTTGAATGTGAAACAATCCATGTGTAATTTTGGAGGCATTTTTGATGATGGACAATTAAGAACACGGCAAGGGTTAGTACCAGAGCATTTCTTTTCTGTGGTGGTCGGATCCATGTCATGAGGGGCACCAGTATATTTTAAAATAGCTTCTGTTCTGTGGTTTGCGTCTGCCTCCAACGTTCTGGCACGTATCCAATAATTTTCTGTCACATTTAGCGTTGTCAACATGACGTCATATCTTTCACCCGGATATACGATCAAAGCATCCACTTCTATAGGTTCGATGTTATAACCATCTGATGCTACGGCAACGAGGGTATGGTTATCAACCGAAAACTGGAAAGGGTACACCATGCCAGCGTTGATGATCCGGAACCTGTAGACTCGTCCTGCTTCTACATCGAACACAGACAGTGGCGCCCCATTGTGGACGCCTATGTTCGGGTCGTGGTAGCGACCCCTACCATTGATGAGGCCAGAATGGAAGTTTAAACGACCAAATAAGGAACCATCCATTGATTTTGAAAATGGTATAGGGTACCTGTTGTAGTAATCACCATGGTACTGTTTCATTTCGGTTAATTCCGCGTCTCCGTAATGGTTCCAGTCTTGCATAGTAAGAATATGTTCCGGAATCATCAGAGGTTTTCGCGGACGGATTACAAACGCCCCGAATAGACCGTTACTTCGTTGGGGTCCGATATGTGAATGATACCAAAATGTACCGCTAGGCGTCGCTTTGAATTCGTACCGGAAACTCTGTCCAGGCATGATAGGGCATTGTGTGATGTAGGCGACCCCGTCCATCCAGGGAGTGTCCCTCTGAGGAAGGCCATGCCAGTGAATTGTCACCCCATCACTGGATAGCCGATTAATAACGTCAACGACAACTGTTTGGCCTTCGTATACAATCAGTGGGGGACCAGGCATGCTTCCATTGGCTACTGTTACCACACGTGGGATTTCGTAACCGTCCGCTGTTATAATTCCCTCAAGAGGTATACTGTTGGCTGTGGTAGGGTCCGTCTCGTTATAGCGGTAGATTTTTCCGCCCCACGGATATAATAAATCTATGTCCCTCATCATTGTTAATGTGTTTTCTATAACGAGGTCGAACTCGCATACGTCATCTGTGTATACGCATGCACTAGAAACAAGGCTTCCGTCAGCAATGACGAATATAAGTGTTGCCAGCAAAGACCAATGTCCTAAAAAACGAGAACCACTTATTATATCAAATTGCTTGTGACAATAATAGGTCCTAATTTCCCTTTTCTACCCCACCGTTAGCCTTTAAGTACTTTCAAGTTACCATTTATTTCATTTTTATGCGTAAAATATAAAAAAAATATGTGAATTTCCTTTTTTCAGTATCCTGAAGACCAAATGTTATATGCGTACTAAAACATCTATGATTCCATGTAAATAAGACCAAATTTTATATGCGGACTAAAACATCTATGATTCCATGTAGATAAGACCAAGTGTTATATGCGGACTAAAACATCTATGATTCCATGTAAATCAGACCAAATGTTATATGCGGACTAAAACATCTAAGATTTCATGTAAATAAGACCAAGTGTTATATGCGGACTAAAACATCTATGATTCCATGTAAATAAGACCAAATGTTATATGCGGACTAAAACATCTATGATTCCATGTAAATAAGACCAAATGTTATATGCGGACTAAAACATCTATGATTCCATGAAAATAAGAAGGCATCAGCAGGTACAATATAGTGGAAATTTATTTCCTACGAAACCTAAGAGAATATTTTCATATAATATATAGCTCTGATAAAAATGATAAACTGGTCTCTTTCAGATAAACGGCACATACTTTATGTCTTTGATAACACCACTTAAGGGATCTGAACAAAGAGAAGGCATTGAAATAAATAATGATAACTAAAAGATCGCTCAAGGGCAGATAACTCCTAAAAAAGGTTCGACAGCATTCGTGGATGTATCTTTGATTAAACACTAATTTCGCTTTTATTCTTTATGCAGCTATAGGTTAAAAACCGTTATGATCGATACCACGCATTAAATAAAGTGAGATATGCTGCCTTGTATGATGTGAAAAAGATGTATGTAACAGGACGAAGCCTAGGAACATGTCCCTATTTTGAGATGTACACACACTACGAAAACCTATTCGTATGTTGTAGAAGCTGTATTTCTAACTCATACAAAAATAATCCAACATTCATTTTACCCTGTATCAAATCAAGTGTCGCATGGTTCGCAAAATGATCTTAAACGGCTTTCGTCTTTAATATTTTATCACCCAACACCATCACACCATCACATAGCATACATAAATAAAGAAACGTATTTTCATCAGCTCTGAAGACCTATTTTACCATATATAACATTTTTTTTTTTATCGAAATATGAGGTTGGTTTTAGACACGAAGTAATGATTGTAGAGTCCGAAAACACAATAGTATATTTTGTAGCTTAAGTCACAGGTATATGCCTCGAAGACCATACACTTAATATACTTGAGTTTTTTTAAGTAAAACTAATTTGCATGATGTAATACTTACCATAACTTTAGTATGCATATACAATACCTACACCCATCTTTGTAGCCCAAAAACAAAAGATTCAAATATCCCTACCTCCCTACCGTGACGTAACCTCTATCTCGATGACAGAGCCACGGAGTGATCTCCCTTCCTCAAACCCCCTTTTATGGAGCCTAAAGGCAGCCAGGATGAGGAGGCAAGGGGAGGAATACAGGGTGGGACTCCATAAAGTTATGGTAAGTATTACATCATGAAAATTGGTTTTACTTCAAAAACCTCAATTTCATTTCAGTAATAATTACCATAACTTTAGTATGCGAATTCGTCTTACCGTAGTGGAGGCTTCGAATCCAGGCAGACCAGGCTGACGGAACAAACTCGAGACATGCTCAAGGTAGGGAAAAGGTTCAAGGAACCCCCCTAATAAAGCCCCGAAAGTAATTAAAAAATGGAAAACCTCCCCGTGAAACGAGCAGGTGTACCACCGTGGTGCCTGATAGCATACTATTTAAAATCACTGAATTACTGTGGAGGAACAGCCACAGACTGTGCAACCACCACCGGTCCAAGGGAATACAATCCATCAGAATGAGAGGCCAAGGACCGGAGATAAAAATCCGTGAAGGTAGTCTGTCCGCGCCAGAAAGCTGCGGACATGACCTCCTGAAAGGGGGACCCATTGAGGAGGGCCCATGACGCAGCAAGGGCCCTGATCTCATG